ACTTAACTACAACAAATATCACATACTTTAAGACTTTTACTCAAGTTATATTCCTAAAGGAGACTTTAACTTTTACCAAAGTCAGTTTTTGATAATAAGATACTTGTACTTTTACTTTGTGGTACTTTATACAACAGTGAGACTGACGTCTCCACATATTCTGATCAGATTATGGATAATAAATATATCATCATGTTAGAACCTGTGGAGGATGAACATAAATCTATAAATAATAAATAAACAGAACCAGTTCAGATCATCACAGCTGTAAAAACTGACAGCGTACATGTGTTGCTTTGTGAAGTTTTTTACTCCGTGTCGCTGCTTCTTCTCACAGGAAGGCCAGTAGGATGGTCTAGGTTAGTGAAGTGATCTGAAAAAATAAAAAATAAAAATAAAAACAGTAGTTTGACACCAGAGCCTGGCTCTGTTCATCTCTGTCAGTTCACATCAGTTCAGACTAAATCTAAACCTGTGCTGGGGCTAAAACTAGGTTACAGTGAGGCGTCGGGGCAGGGGAGGTCCCAATGAGTTCTGATATGTACTAATAAAACGTTTTAACTCACTTACCTTAAACAAGGGTTGCTATTACGCAAAATCAACTTGTGATTTTTCTGTCATGTTATCATATCATTGCCTTATTTAAAACCTGCCCAGAGTGATGCAGTGTTTCCCTGCAGAGTGCTGGTGTTAGTCATACAGATAAATAATGAATTATTCTCAGGTTCTCAACAATAACTCTATGTTCAGATCCCCAGTGGGCCTGACAGAAAACAATTAAAACCAGTGGGCTGCAGAGATCAACCTGTTGTGTTTGTCTCACCTGCAGCAAACTGACGAACATCATCAGGTCTTTGAAGAAGCAGCTTCCTGTTTGAGGAGAAAAAACAATTACAGGACTTGTTGTTTAATTATTGTATGGATGTGGGTACATTTCTTATCCTACACCGATATTAAATCTGACAGCAGATTCCAGAAGAACATTACAAACCGTAGAAAACACTAAAATCCTGTGATGATCTCAGGTATGAGGGGAGTTATTAATGTTTGTTCAGGTGAAATCAGCTGCTGCAGGGTTAGTGTTCACAGCAGAACCAATGGGATCATTTCGCCTTGTTTCATAACTTATTTACTGTTCAAGATATCACCATGAAATTTTAGGAAGATTCAAATTCTGGTTTTTGTAGGAAGCATCATTTATCCTAAAAACTAACCAAACTTAATAATTTCCAAGGAAAAAGCAGCAGAAAAAGCTGTGTGAAGCTGACACACTTAGTGCTCCGTTTGTGTCGTTAAAATGTTTGTTTGTGCTGCTTTTCTTTCTGAGATATTATGAATTATAATTTCAGCCGATGATGAGATGAGAAGTGATGACACAAAGAGACCACAAGAAGGAGACATCGCACAAAACATGGATCCCTACACCGACAACTTCACACTGAAACACAACTGATGCAGAACCATTAGAGCCTGCAGCAGGTGAACTTTTCATTTTCACGTTTTCTTTTTTTTCTTTTTCTACATTTATTTCTTTTAATGTAAATGTTTGTGGTACGCTCAGTGTTGTATATGTTGTATGTTTTTATTCATTCACGCAGCCTCTTGGCCAGGTCCTGTTTGGAAATGAGAAGTGGTTCTCAAACAGTTTACCTGCATAAATAAAGGTTAAATAAAAAACTCATTGTCTCCTAATCAGGTGAGGTCATGTGACTGTCTGATAGTAAAACATAACACTGACCTAATAATCTTTAATAACTCAGAAACAAAACCAGCACAAACGGAGCGGTTTAGTGGAACCAGTTCGGTTAACCCAGAGGTCTGCAACCTGCGGCTCTGGGGCCACATGTGGGTCTTTGGTCCCTCTGCAGTGGCTCTTTGAAAATGTGACCAAACATAACAGAATCAAAACTTTGTTAGTTTTAATACCAACAACAGAAATCAATTTGTATACAAATAAGTGATCAATACTAATACAAAAAATAAAACATGTTAGCTCATGCTAACCTGTTGTTTACTTAAATAATCCAACTTCTTTCTCTGATCTTTCTTCAAATCCATCAGAATTACCTTTAAATAATTTGAACACTACATAATAAGAATTAGAAAAATATGTCTGAATAATTCAGTTGTACTAGTTTTATATGAAATTCAGTATAAACTATTTACAGTATTTTTCTTGTTTATATGAATACGGTCTTTTTATTTATCCTGATGTGTACAGTAATAAATAATCTAATATTTTTTAGTTCTTTAATGTCACCTACGCTGACCGTAAAGGTTCCTGAAAAGGCCCACGGACCAGCAGTTGATAATCACAGTTGTAGCTTGAACACATTTAATTAATGAGACAAACGTGTCTTTTGATCATAAAGGTTGCAGACCCCTGGGTGACCCCCTATAACAGATGCCCCTTTGACATTTTTTAAGTGCCAAACTAAAGGTAAGAACAGGAAGTTGTCTGAGACCCTGGTCTTCAAAATAAAAGCCCCTGGTAGTGTACGGAAATGTTTAAAGGCAGAAACTGAACTATTGTTGTGGAACAAAGACTGTTCAGGGGTTCAGTAAATTATAGTTTATTTTTTAGAGTAGAGGGTCTCAAACTGGGGTCTGCGAGTCATATCTTGGGGTCCTCAAAATTTTTAAATAAATTGTTCATTTCACTTTTATTTTAAAAAATGCATATGAGGAACAGTACACTAGTAAAACAAACATACTAAACCAAACAAAAGATCATATTTCCATGGTATTTAGGGGTTAAAATGACAGCAAACTATTTTTAAAACAGCCTGGGGGTTTATGAGGGGGTCCCCTGGAAATGTTTGGTCCCCAGACCTAAAACATGTGAGAACCCCTGAGTGTGTAAAAGTACTTTTATTTTTACTTTCCCGATTTTTATGAACAGTTTTCTGACTGTTATTTAAGTATTTTTCTCATCAGTGAAATTTAATTTTACAAAACTCATTTTCTGTTCAGGTATTTTTACTTTTACTTTTTTTTCTCAAGCTCTGGTAAAAAATAGTTTCAGGTCTCTTTAGTATGAAACATTAGTTAGGGTCATGTTCTTTAAATAAAACAGCTACCTGTGTGATTCATGCTAATAAATGTTTGTTTATCCCGTTCAAATAAAACTAATAAGGTGTAAAAACAAAAACAAGCACCTTAAGAAGTGACCAATCAGCTGCTCCACTTCAGGGTGTGCTCTCAAATACTGCTGGTTGTCCATTCTCATCTGGATCTGAGAACAAAAACAAATCACCTGTCATGTAGCAGTGGAGCTAATGCTTTTAGCTAGCAGCAGTTTAATAGCTAGTCTTTTAGCTAGCAGCAGTTTTAATTTTTTTAAATCTGTTTACCTTAAACTGTCGCAGTTTCTCTTGCTGCTCAGCACTAAGTACGCCTTTTCCATCCATGACGTCACGTACGTAGTTTATTTATAGTAAAATAAAAATGTCTGTTTATCTGACAGATGGATCAAAATGTTTGGTCGCTGGTTTGTTGATGACCTGTTGCCATGGAAACGGCCGCAGCTGATGTGGCTGTCTCTCGAGCAGCCCGTTAGATGGGAAGATGTGTTTTAATGTTTAATGTTATCAAAACGCACTGAAGTAAAATAAAATAAATTTTATTTAAAAAGTTCACACTGAAAAACACAAATAAAGAGATTAAAATTCAGTTTTAATGCAAAGAACCGTTCAAACTGCTGAAGTTACACCTTTAGCCACTAGATGGCAGTGTTCTACTGAGATAGATGATAGATAGATAGATAGGTTTGTTTATTTATTTATTTAACAAACTAATACACTATCAGAGTTTTATATATTTATACTTCTCATTCAACCACAGTTAAATTCACTCTATCTAGGAGGCTCAGTTTATATGGATAGTTTTTATTTTTTACAACAACAAGCTGCAATGAAAACAAGCAGAAATGAAATAAAAGTAACAACTTTATACTTCTTGACTTTTTAAAAAATGCAATAAGTAAAAGTAAAAAGTATGCTGAAAAATAATTACTCAAGTAAAGTACAGATACCCAAAAATTCTACTTAAGTACAGAAACAAAGTATTTGTACTTAGTTACTTTACACCTCTGCTAATCTTTCAACATTAACGTTTTAATTTAACATTATACTCAGGGGTACTGTAGAACCCTGAGGCACAGCCTAATACTTTTTTTTAAGTGTTCATTACTTTTACTTTTAAACTTTAAGTAGATTTAAAACTAGTACTTTTATACTTTTACTAGAGTAAAAAGCTTGAGTATTTTTAAGCCCTAGTATCTATACTTCTACTGAAGTAATGAATGTGAAAACCTTTGGCACCTCTGAGCATGAGAATAAACATAAACTTTTAGTGATATAAATATACAGGCTGGATTATTTATGTAAAATAAAAAAAGATAATTGTCCTTTATTTGGGATCACAGTTGATTCAAATGATTTCTGGACAAATAAGCTGAAGAAAATACTCCCAAAAAACAAAGCAAAATAAAGACAGTTAAAAGCAAAGTTAAAACATAACATTTTATTTACAGTCTATATAAATCCACTGAGTTTCATTATTTTAAGTTTCTTAGGCTCTAAAGTGCAAAACAAGTGAAAAAAGCTGGCAAAGCTTATTTTTTCTTTAACGAATGTTCACATCTCACTCTGCAGAAAGAAATAACTGGTGTTGTTAAAGTTCATGGTTTCTACGCAGCCCGTCACACTTTCTTCTTCCTCTTTTTCTTCCTCTTCCTGGACGTCACTCTGCGGCGGGCGTTCCTCGGAAAGCTGAGGGGCAAAGGTCGCCAGCGTCTCCCCCTTCAGGGCTGCTGTGGCGGGGGGTGGAGGTGGAGACAAGTCGCCACACCAAGCGATGGCAAGAAGTTTGTAGCGTTTAGAAAAAAATATGTCCCTGTGTCTGGAAAACAAAATAAATAAAATGTAAAATACTGGTCTAATCTTATTGGCTGTGAAAGTCAGCGTGTACTTGTTTTATCAGCTATATTTAACTTGAGTTAGGCAGGAGATATTTTATATATTAAATAAAAAAATAGTGCAGATTTCACTACCTGAAAACGTAGACAGCCAAAACAGCTGAAAAAAAGGCAAAAAGAGCAGAAATCCAAAACACAAACTGCGGCTTCTTGTCTGTGTCACGTTTAGAGCCTGTAGGAAGAACAACAAAAAAAAAAAGACATTTTCTTTATAAAACAATCATCTTTCTGATTATATAAAGATTAAACGGTGCAGGAAGCTTGTCTCCTGGTTTGCTGCTGAGTCTCAGTTATTGTGACGACATGCTTCCTGTTAAAACCAGTGAGGCAGAGAGGAGGTTCAGGACCATCCCTCCTCTTTCTCACTCTTCATCTCACCTTCATCCTCATCGTCTGGAAAACCAGAGCCTGAGTAGTCCCAGGTGGGCTGTGAGACACAACGACACAAAACCAGACAAAACGCTCAGCACTGATGGACACAGAGCTCTGTAAAGTACTTGAAAAAATAAGTAAGTAAAAGTAAAATTACACAAACAGAAAATGACTTTGGTAAAAATACATTTCACTGATGAGAAAACTACTTAAGTAAAAGTAATAAAACTGTTCACAAAAATTGTGAAGGTAAAGTCAGAGTTGTAAAGTAACTAAATACAAATACTTTGTTACTGTACTTAAGGAGAATTTTTGGGTATCTGTACTTTACTTGAGTAATTATTTTTCAGCTTACTTTTTACTTTTACTCATTACATTTTTACACAATTATCTGTACTTTCTACTCACTACATTTTTAAAAAGGTAAGAAGTAGAAAGTTGTTACTCCTGTTTTATTCTGAGTCATTACTTAAATAAATCCTCTCCTGATAAACTGTGTCTCCTATAGAGTGAATTTAATTGTGTTTGYATGAGAAGTATAAATATATACCATTCTGACACACTATTAGCTTGTACACAACCCATCACAGCTGCACGCTGTTAGAAAATATAGTTTTTGGAGAAGTCACCTCCCAATAAATGTCATTTTGGAAAATCTAACTGCTCACTTTTACTCAGTACTTTTACTTTTAATACTAAAGTAGATTTTGTGTCACAAATTTACTTTTGATACTTAAGTACAAAAAATATCAGAAACTTTAAGACTTTTACTCAAGTAATATTTTTAGAGGAGACTTTAACTTTTACCAAAGTATTTTTATGTTAAGATATTTGTACTTTTACCCAAGTATCACTTTGAGGTACTTTATACAACACTGGATAAAAGTAAAAGTACTTTTACACACTCTCTAAGAAATAAACTGTTGAATTTACTGAACCAAACTGGTTCCACTAATCCAGGTTGAGTAAATTGATCAATATATTTATATTTTTTACTCAGTTTACTCGACTAATCTCAGTGGAACCAGCTGACATGACTTTATTGAGTAAATTCAACTCTTCATTTTTTACAGCAGAAACATTTTTCATGATGAGTTCAAACTGATTTAATTTGTAACAAGTTACTAGGTGTTACATTTTAATGTAAAGAAGTAAAAATATAATTTTTAGCTTTAAAATGTAACAAATTAAAAGTAAAAGCAGCTATTTAAAAAATACTTGGTAAAATTACAAACCCTAAAAAAATTACTTAAGTACTGTAACAAAGTAAAAGTAGCTATTTAAAAAATATTTTGTAAAATTACAAATCCTAAAAAAGAACTAAGTACTGTAACAAAGTAAATGTACTTAGTTATTATAAACCTGTGGTTGGACAATAAAACAAAATGAAGTGTGGTTCATTAACAGTTAAACTCACCGTTGGGGTTGGGAAATAATCTGTAATCTCTACAGCTGGAACACAAGAGACACAAGAACATAAACAGATCAAAATCACACGATAGATTCTCAACTGGTGGCTCATGGCACAAAGGTGGGTCACAGGCAAAGAAAATAAAAAAATAAAAAATCAAGGTTTAGATTTTAACGTCAGCTTTAAAGTTAAACCTGATTTTGAAACGACTCAGTCTTTTGTTATTGTGTGTCCTAGAGATCTCTGCAAGTGTTAAAGCAGTTAATTTACATTTAAATAAGTCTGGAAGCAGAGAAATGACTGACATCTGTAGCTTTCTGTAGTCTTATAAAACTAAATTATTAAAGGGAACCTGACAAGTTGTAACATCAGATCTTTTATAAAACACTGTAGGTTGTTTAGTTTTACAGGCTGCACTCAGAATACAGCAGAAACAACGTCCTGTACATTTAGAGGTTAGAGGTTAGGGGTTAGAGGTTAGGGGTTAGAGGTTAGGGGTTAGAGTTTAGAGGTTAGAGGTTAGGGGTTAGAGGTAAGGGGAAAGGGGTAAGAGGTTAGAGATTAGGAGTTATGGGTTAGGGGTTAGAGGTTAGGGGTTAGAGGTTAGAGGTTAGGGGTTAGAGGTTAGGGGTTAGGGGTTAGGGTTAAGGGTTTGGGGTTAGGGGTTAACGGTTTGGGGTTAGAGGTTAGGGGTTACAGGTTGGGGTTAGGGGTTAAGGGGTTAGAGGTTAGAGGTTAGGGGTTAGAGGTAAGGGGTTAGAGGTAAGGGGTTAGATGTTAGAGGTTAGGGGTTAGAGGTTAGGAGTTATAGCTTAGGGGTTAGGAGTTAGAGGTTAGAGGTTAGGGGTTAGGAGTTAGGGGTTAGGGGTTAGAGGTTAGAGGTTTGGGGTTAGGGGTTAGAGGTTAAGGGTTAAGGGTTAGAGGTTAGAGGTTATAGGTTAGGGGTTAAGGGTTTGGGGTTAGAGGTTAGGGGTTAGAGGTTAAGGGTTAAGGGTTAGAGGTTAGAGGTTATAGGTTAGGGGTTAAGGGTTTGGGGTTAGAGGTTAGGGGTTAGAGGTTGGGGTTTGGGGTTAGGGGTTAGAGGTTAGAGGTTAGGGGTTAGAGGTTAGAGGTTGGGGTTTGGGGTTAGAGGTTAGAGGTTAG